CAGGTCTGTGCACATGTGTCCAAGGACTGCAGTGGTACAGCTTAGCAATACATCAGCAGCAGCTTCAGGCCTAGCTGTAACCAACCAATAAACTGTTTCTCAGTAACAAAGAGCCAAAGATATTCGATTGTGAGCAGACAGGCATCTTTGTTTGGGGGCTCAATGTAAATCTGTTTCAGGGGCCAGCTCTTCCCAGAATGTGAATAGCAAAAATACACATTTAATCCTCAAGTCTTGGGCCTACATGTTCAAAAATGGGTACCTAATGTAAGGGTCCTGAAAAAGATTTTCAAAAGCACCTACCTGATTTAGAAGAACAAGTTCCATAGACCGGTGGTTCTCAAACTGGGGTCTGTGGACCCCCGGGGGTCCACGATGGTAGTCCAGGGGGTCTGAGAGTCATGTCTGGGGCCACTGGCCCAACCGGTCAACTCCTCCCCTTCCCACTCTCTCCTGCACACTGGGGTGTGCTCAGGGAGGGGGTGGAAAGAGGTGTGGAAAACAAGGGGCAGGGGTGGAGGGCGGGCAGGAAGAGGTAGGGCAGGGGCGGGGCCTGGGGCTGAGCGGGGGTTGAGTACCACTGGGGAAAATTAGAAGCTAGCTTGGGGGTCCATGAAAAATTTTACATCAAAATGGGGATCCTTGGGTTGCTAAAGTTTGAGACTGCTTCCATAGACGATTGTGTAAAAACTCTTCCCATCAGAAATAACCTGCTTACTTTGGTGTGTTTGAAAATCCCACTCCTAAACTCTCACATGCCTAAATAAGTGGCTTGATTTTCAAAACTGCTGAAGTGATGTAAGAGCACAAGTCACTTAAGTCCCTTCACCAGTTTTGAAAATTCCACTTTAGGAGCCTAATTTTAGGCATCTGTTATTACAAATCTTGTTCCTGGTCTAGACTGTAAAGTCTTTGAGACAGGAACTTAGTCACTTACTCTATGTCTGTTCAGTGTCGACCTGGCTGAGCCATGCATCCAGGAAATAGAAAAACCGCAATAACAAAAGGCTTAATGCACTGGTCTCTAGGCGTATGTCTACACAACAAAGAAAAACCCGCAGCAGGCCCATGCCAGCTGACTTAGGCGCCAACTATGGGTCTGTTTCATTGCTGTGTAGACTCCTGGGCTCTGGCTGGAGCCCGAGCTCTAGGACCTCCCACCTTGCAGGGTCCCAAAGCCCGAAGCCCAGACACCAACACAGCAGTGAAACAGCCCAAGAACCCAAGCCCTGCAAGCCCGAGTCGGCTGGCATGGGCCAGCCACAGGTGTTAGTTGCTGTGTAGACATACCCTAGGAGGCCTTGGCTATTTCTGAAGAGACGTGAACTTAGGAGTACTAGAGTGAACCTCCTCAAGTGGGAGTTTAAATCAAATTTGATATTCACCCCCCCCCCCACCCCCAGCTGCCACCTATTCTAGAGGTGCCTATGTTCCCTCAGCACCTAAATTTTTGCTGTAATAGTCCCCTAGTCACCTATGTTTCTGCCACTGGGCATGTGTACTACCATCTTGGGCAGGTGCCTAGACACCTATCTCACACCTAACCCCCAGCAGGATTCTCATACTAGGTGTAGCCCTGCCTATTTTACCCGTGGACCTGATGCCACAAAACATGGAGAAGAACAGCCTCCCCATGGGCACTGAGTGAAGGTTCCCTTTGTGGGGGCTAGCCGCCCTGACCCACCTCTTCTACCCGAGGTCCCACCTCTTCCCTCCAAGGCCCTGCCCCCTCACTCACTGCTTTCCCCACTTATGGCCCTGGGCGGGACCACTGCATAATGTTAAGCTCCACCCCCACCATGGCCGTGGCTGGTGGTTGTCTCTGAGCCTTCCCCTGGCCCTGGCTGAGCTCGGAGCCTCCCCAACCCTATTATACGCACCACCCATGAAGCTCCCTTATGTCCTTTAGCCCAGGGGTTAGGACATGCACCTGGACCATGGAAGACCCCATTCAATTCCCCCTCTGCATGACAAGAAAAAGGGAGTTGGTTATGGGTCTTCTGACACATGAATGTCCTAACCCCTGGGCTATGGGATAGTCTGAGGCAGGAGGATTCTCTGACTCTTCCACTGAAGTTGTTTCACTGTGTAACTAATTAAATATTCACTGGCACAAACAGAGAGCGAGTGACTCTGTAGTTCAGTAACTAGAGCACATGCCTGAGATGTGGAGACCATCTTCAAATCCCTTCTTCCCACCAGACAAAAGAGGGGAATTGAACCAGAGTCTCCTACCTCCCAAGCAAGTGCCCTAACCACTGGCCTAAAGGTTCTGAGGAAGTCAGCCTGCTCCTTCTTTCTTCTCTGGCTCCTTTGTGCCACCCCTTTTCTTGCAAGAAACAGCTCAGGCACCTGATGCCTGGAAAAGGGGTTGTTCATAGATTAAGAGATTCAATAGATTTTACGGCCACAAGGGACATCTAGTCTGACCTCCTGTAAAACACAGGCCAGAGAGCTCCCCCGAAATAATTCCTAGAGCAGAGCTTTTGAAAAACATCCAATTGCGATTTTAAAATGGTCAGTTCTGGAGAATCCACCATGACCCAAGGTAAATTGTTCTAATGGTTAATTACTTTCTCCACTAAAAATGTGCACCTTATTTCCAGTCTCAATTTGTCTAGCTTCAACTTCCAACCATTGGATCATGTTATCCCTTTCTCCTCTAGATTGAAGAGCCCATTATTAAATATTCATTTCCCATGCAGGTACTTATAGAAAGGAACCAAGTCACCCCTTAACCTTGTCTTTGTTAACCAAATAGAGTGAGCTCCTTGAGTCTATCACTAGAAAGCTTGTTTTCTAATCCTTTTATCATTCTGGAGGCTCTTCTTTGAGCCATATCCAATTTATCAACATCCTCCTTGAATTGTGGGCACCAAAACTGGACACAATATTCCAGCAGCAGTCACATGCGTGCCAAATACAGGGGTAAAATAATCTCTCTGCTCCTACTCGAGGTGCCCCTGTTTATACATCCCAGGATCACATTAGCTCTTTTGACCACAGCATCATACTGGGAGCTCATGTTCAACTGATTGTCCATCACAACCCCCCAGGTGTTTTTCAGAGTCACTGCTTCCCAGGATACAGTCCCCAATACTGTAAGTATAGCCTGCATTCGTTTTACATTTAGCCATATTAAAATACGTATTGATGGAATGCAAACCATATGAAAAAAAGCTGAAGGAACTGGGTATGTTTATTTTGGAAAAGAGATTAAGGGGGGACATGGCAGGGGTCTTCAAATGCATGAAAGGCTGCCATAAGAAAGATGGAGAAAAGTTGTTCTCTTTTGCCACAGAGGGGAAGACAAGAGCCAATAGGTTCAAACTATGTCATAGCAGATTTAGATTAAAACTCCAGAAAAACGTCCTAATTGTAAGAACAGTAGGAGAATGAAACAGACTGCCTAGGGAGGTAGTGGAAGCTTCTTCACTGGAGGTTTTCTAAAGAGGCTGGATAGTCATTTGTCTTGGATGGTTTAGATGCAACAAATCCTGCATCTTGGCAGGCGGTTAGACTAGATGACCCTTGCAGTCCCTTCTAACTCTATGATTGTTTGCTTGCACCCAGTATTCCAAGCGATCCAGATCCCTCTGAATCAGTGACCTCTCCTCTTCATTATTTACCACTCCCCCAATTTTTGGGTCATCTGCAAACTTTCAGTGATGATTTTATGTTTTCTTTCAGGCCAGTGCTGAAACTGTTTAAATAGCATAGAACCTCCTCTAGAGATAATAGGCCCCAGCACCGGCCTGGCCCCCAATGAGGTCCATGTGCCCTCCCTCGCAGCAGCTGAAGCAGTGCCGCTTGCTGCTTGGCGAGCCAGGCCACACAGGCTCTCCAGTAGTAGTCTGCCATTTTCTGTCTCCACCTTCAGTTTTGCACGTCTCTGATCCGCGCAATAGTCCCACAGTCCTTGCCCTGCCCCTTGTCTCAGGGGCAACCACTTATGGCCACATTCTCCACCCAGTGTAGAGAAGCGAGGTGACGACTCACCGGCACGGCGCCTCCTGCTGGTCGTCTTGGGAATTAGCTCTTTTCCAGCATATGGAGCACCCTCTTCAGGCCTGCCGCTGGACCCGTGTCCCTCCAAGAACCCGGTGCCCTTTTCCTCCGGGTTCTGCCCCCAGCTGTACCCCTTACTCTGGATCTCCCCTCCCATGGGAATCCCCAACCCTCTAAACCCACCTTGCCTCAGTGGCTACTGCCACTCATCATCTAGCCCCCCCCTCACTGGGGCAGACTGCAGTCTGTAATGGCCACTCATCATTGGCAAGGGGTTAGGACCAGCTGCCTCTGCTTATTCCAAGGCTGTATCTCTGTAGCCCCAGTACCTCTGTAGGCCTTCAACAAGGCCTGCAGCCTGGGGTTTTACCAGGCTGGAGCTCCACAGCTCCCTTGCCCTATTCCCCAGCACTGCTCCAGTTCAGGTACCTTCCCCTCCTGGGCAGCTAGCCCTTCCCACTCCAGGGCTAGAGTGAGACTTCTCTGGCTTCTGGCCCTGTAGCTCTTTTATAGGGTCAGCCTGGCCCTGACTGGCTGCCTCCAAGCTTCTCCTTATTGGCTCTCAGCCCCAGACCTCTCCAAGGGCTGGCTTTTAACCCTTTCAGGGCCAGAGCAGGATGACCACTCCGCTACAGTTATGTGTTATTGTGGGATTGTATGGAACTTCTTTAGGAGGAAGACAGGATTAATGCAATCTCTGGGAAGCACTGTTAGCTTCAATAGACTACGTTGAACAATGTAGAGGACATGAATGACCTCTTGGGATAATATGTGTGAAGTGGAATTCCTAGGAAGTATTTGGGAGGAGTGTGTTGCAAACTCCCACCTAAGGACTCAGCCTCTGAAGTTTTGCCCCAAGGGGGGAAAGCCATTTGTCTTCTGATCACTTGTTACATGAGGACAGTTCAAAGACAATCTGTCTAAAAGAGTAACTGACTTACTTGTGGGTGTGTTTCTTCTGAGATGAAACTGTTATGAACTTGTCACCACAGAAAAAACCCTGGGTGGATTCTGAAGGACTGTGCATTGAATCACCGTCCAGAGCCCTTGTTGGAGTTGAAGTGATCTCTGGTAAGCTTATCAGCATGTGCGTAGGTTCTTTTATTGTTTTAATGTTTTCTCTATAATGCTTTTACCTTCAGAATAAATGTGCTTGTTAGGCACCTGAGAATGCGATTTGCCAAAACCAGCATGCATCCAATAGCAATAGTGAGGTCTCTGGTAGACTTCATGGAGTCTCGGGCACTTCCCCCTTTTTTGGGTTATTGAGGGTTTTTTTGGTGGTTGGTAGGGGTTTAGAAGTGGTCAGGTTTTTTAGGCCACCTTAGTTTAAAGATACCCTGTGTGCTAATTTTCAAGAAGGAGAAAGCGGAAGTTTTGAAAAATAAAACCAAACCACTTTGAGTTATGAGTGGGTAAAAAAATATGTAGACTTTTTTGCAGAAGTCAGAATCAAGTTAGTTTTTCACTGCTTTAAACTCAAAGCAGCTTGATAGATTTCATTCATAGACTCATAGACACATAGACTCTAAGGTCAGAAGTGACCATTATGATCATCTAGTCTGACCTCCCGCATGATGCGGGCCACAAAAGCTGACCCACCCACTCCTGGAATAATTCTCTCCCTTGACTCAGCTGTTGAAGTCCCCAAATCATGATTTGAAGACTTCAAATCGCTGAGAATTCTCCAGCAAGAGACCCCTGCCCCATGCTGTGGAGGAATGCGAAAAACCTCCAGGGCCTCTGCCAATCTACCCTGGAGGAAAATTCCTTCCCGACCCCAAATATGGCAGCTGAACCCCAAGCATGCGGGCAAGATTCT